AAAAACTTGGAAATATCAACTTAGATGAAAGGACACTACAGACTTAACAAGATGGAGTCGGTTATGAAACTATACGTAGCCTGTCACTGGTTTTTAACAACATGAGCTTTTGTGTATGTCAGAACACTCCGCCAAAGGATTTTATGGTCCGTAGTGTCTATCGGAAAAAAATAGGTCTACTGTTCCTTATGCATTTTAGTTTTTATGTGAAGAAGGAAAACCTTTTGAAAGAGCACTTAGTCGACTAATGGTCGATATAGACGATGTACTCGCTAGTTGTTCCATTTAGTAGCATCAACTTCAATTAAGGTGTTTACCGGTAAATAGCCACTCCTGGACGGTTAATTGGCAGAGCACTCTAGCGGTCGAGTGTGGCGTCCTCTCCTCTGATTAGGTTATGATATATTGTTCCCTCCTATCTAATTACCCTTGCTACATCGGCTCATTGTTATGGCTGATAGATAGCCAGTAATTAATGAGTAACGAACAAAATTTGCGAGTTTGTATAGAAAAAATGATACGTCAACGAAATATGAGATGGATGGAGAACCCAAGCGGTCGAAGTAACAAGGTGTAAATTAATTTGGTATTTGATTGGTAATTAATTAAATTGGGATTTTTGATCGAGGTTCCATACTACCTCGACTAATACCATATAGATCCTTCCTTGGGTTTTTAGACATATTTCATTATTTTTTTCGTAATATATATTTTCTTTTTTATTCCCTTTTTACTTTCACTTGTGTATATATGTAATATATAGTAAGGGTAAGTATTGCGATCGAGAAAATTTTTGAACCTGAGATTTCAACGGAAATAGACTTTTTGAGGTACCCTGAGTCGAAAAGAACAAGCCTCGAAAAATGGTCTGTGTGTTTGTATGTTAGCAGTCTAGCTCAAAAACGTCAAGCTCAAGTCCTACTAAACTGATATTACGTATTTAAGATAGGTATATGCCTTAGATATGACGGCAACTTTTTCCTTAAAATTGGCTAACCGGGAGTGCCACTTTATATCAACGCTGAAACACATTTTTTCAGGTATATTAGTATTCACTGTTAATTTCGGGGTGAATAAAGATTAAAATCAGGTCATCAGCATTGAACCAATTGGAAACCTCTCAGCGGAGGACTAAGACCAATAAAAAAGTGTTGTGCCAGAAACAGCTGATTTAAAATTTCATTTTTAGGGAACTTTCAATTTTCTTAAACAATAATTATTCTGTAAGAAAAAAAAAGAAGAAAGAAACTATATAAATTGATTTTAAGTAATCCTTGAAGGCTTGTTAAAACAAAAATAATAATGATAAATAAAAAAAGATTATTACTGGAAGAATAACTCTTTTAATTTTGCGAAGTAATTTGTTTAAAAAAACCTGTACCTTTATAACCTATGAAGGGTGATGGGTTCAGTACTATATAGGGAAAATACTGTACGCTAGGAGGTGATTTGACTGAGATCACGCTCAACCGCCATGTTTTTCCTCTAAATTAATTATCTACCTTATTAGAGGCTGGGTGTGCCCCAGGAGGGTCTCCCGACCTCAGGGTCGTCCCGCGGCCTATGTAACAGAATAAGTAATTTTTCTGCTATGAGCCGGGATTCGAAGTTGGGTACTTGAGCATTGGAAGATCAGTAACCTACCACTGAGCTGATCCACTCCATCGTTTTTATTATACATTTTTATATTTAATTGCTGTATAAGCATTATAATTAAAAAAGAGTATATATGCTGGTTGTTTAAGTATTCTGATCAGATCACTCATTGAAATAATGAAGAAGAAAAAAATTATTTATCCATTTTGGGGCTCCCGACCCTGTAGATCCGCTAGTGATATCAGGTCTGATCTTAAATACCTTTGATGGTTTATATTTTTAAATGATAATATTTAAAAAAAAAACTTAATGTATTAACTAAAAGTGCCAACTAATATTGGCTATTTGTAGTTAGGTACTTGAAGTTGATAACTTGACTCTATTCCGATAAAACACTGATAAAAGATAGAGGAAATGTGACGACATTTTTTATTATCCAGTCGAAAACTTAAATAGTATTACATTCATTCATCGACTGTAAGGATATTATGATGGTATATGTAAAATAAGCTATACCCACTAAAACACACTTTACTGAGTCCTGTTATTCCCAAACACCAATCAATAATTACTGATTCATAACTTTAGAAACTATTAGTGTTATTAAAAACTAGGATCTTCGGTCTAATTAATCATATTTACTTTTATTTGTTTTTTCATGAGTTTTAATGATGAAATATGCATCATTTCGAGAGCGAGATTTCAAGAGGGTTTCAAAAATAAAATTATTAAATAAAGTTAGTAGTTTTATATTCTAAACTTTTGTTTCTAATTTTGTAGCCAGGTGTTAACGATTGGATAGTGGATAGAAGTTGGGAATAATTTTGGAAAGAAGTCCTAAGTAAATTGCTTGTTTCGACAAGTTTAGTTTTGGTAGATAGCTCTGAGAATAGTGCTGTAACTTTTTTGGGTTGTAATTGGATAATTCAAAAATAAAAGCTTTACTTAATTCTATCAAGTCATAGTTAATAACACACTATTTACTAAGCCATCGTTTACACCGTGACAGTGGCTGTCATGGTAGCCACCTTTGTTATTGGTAGCACTTTCGCATAGTCTCGTTTTGCGTGATAGTTAACCGTCGCATGGATATTGCAGCCTTGGCTAGTCGATTCAGGTGGCAACTAGTTCCTCATATGGCACACTCAGCCTCTAAAAAGCTTAGCTTTAAATAACCCTTGATCGGGGTTCTGATGACCCTCGTTTATCTTGAACACTAGATATATCATCTTTTGAAACCTCTGGTCATTAAACAACATTCTTTGCCATGAACTACACCCTTGAAGAGTTGCAATGGTACTGCTATTTTGTTGTTATTTATTTATTTTATTATTTTAAGTGGCGATCTATAATAAATAAAATTTAAATAAAAGGAATTTTTTTTTCATTTTGTTCTGACTTCAATACTAAATTAGTTAGTTATCCTTGATATCGCTGGGGTCACCCATTTTTAACATAATATTATTTTTCAGCAGTTACTTTTAGCAGTTAGAAGAATTATAATTCTTCCTAAAACATCTGCTGCAAATTGGATTGTTGCTTAACTTTGAACACTCAACTTTCAGAATATTAATAACTGACTAATGAATTTACATTCTTCTCTCTGCGAGCATGATAAATGTTATTAATTATAAAAAAAAGTCTGAAGTGGCAAATACCGAACCCTAAAAAGAGAGATTGATGAAAGAGTTTGGAAAGACAAAGGGTTATAAAAAGGGCTAAAACAGCTGAGAACCCTATTGTAGTATACAGAACCCGGGTATTAAGGGATTTGGGCAGCGCTCATACCCTACCCTTCGCGCCACTTATATCTGCTCTTCCATTTTATTAAATCCCCAAAACGGCCTATTCTTGTGTTTTCTCCTTCTATTTTCAGGCTATTGTCCTAGTTTTTGGAGCCTATTGTTTTATGACCCCTCTCAAAACTAGAAAATTAAGGGAGGGATAAAAGAAGAATTAATATTATTATTTTCTCGCTAATTATAAAATAAGTGCTACCGTCTACGATAGTGGACTGTTGTTTTATTATTATTGTTATTATTATTAAATCAGTCATAATTGTATTCAGTTAATTTTTTTTGTACTTTTGACAGACGAATAGTACGTGGAAAAAATGGTTTATGGTCGGTTTATTGCAAAAAACGTTAACTATATTTTTGATGGAGCTAACTAAAGTTTTTTGTGAGTTTTTTATGAATTTTGACTTTATTTATCTGTACAAAACCCAATGAGTACATCAAAATTACACAAATGTTCTGTTTTCACAGAGAGAAAATTCATCAAAATATTTAATGTTTAACATATGACGTTTAGCAATAAATCCACGATATAATATTAAAAAAATATACGTAAAACTTAGTACCCAATGTAGCAGAAGTCATAAGTTTAATAGTAAATAAGAAAGCACAATTTCTTGACAAACCGTTCTGAAAGGGGGTGGTGTCAGCATCCATGCTTAACCTGCATTTATATCTCAATAAATCCCACTTTGTAGAGGATGTGTACGGCCCTGGTTTCCTGTTCTCAGAAAGTGTAAGGACGTTCAATGGTATGTGCAATTGATATAGAGTTTTGATAAATTATTCGGAAATCACCGGTCATGCGAAGGCACTTAAAAAAAAAAAAAAATATATATATATATATATATATATATATATATATATATATATATATATATATATATATATATATAAAATTGATTTGTACCTTGTATACTATGCTTTAGTGTCTTTGTATCTACTAGTGTTTTCATAGGATAAGGAAATATTATTTTTTTAAACCTGTGATACCTAAAATCAATACGTTCCCAATTCTTTTACAAAATTATCAAGTTACTCTGCTTTATTTCAAAATAATACTACGAGTATACATGAACATCGATCTTCAACGGTTCCAAAAAAAATTATAATTCGTATTTATAGCTGTGCGTTAATCAATTTCCAAATAACTTATAGAACTATAGAAATGACATCTTCACAGCTAAATACAGGAACATTTTGGAGATTTGGGAACTTCAAATTTTAAATATTAATAATAAATAAATGGCAAAAATGAACCTTATATTGAATAGTTAAATGATTACGTGGCTGTATTTATGGTTATTCAAGAATTTTTATAAATAATTTCTCTTATAGATTACTATTTATTGTTTTTCAAATGAAAGCTGATTGATGATTTTTTTTTTTTCAGGTACGTGAAATTCAAAATGTCTTGAGGTAAAACATAAATTGTTACTACTATTTGTGAAAACACTTCTTACAACAACACTTTTTACTCGGTACCCGATTAATTGTTGACAGATTAGCTTTCTTTTCTTTCATCCATATGGTTCCCATAATCAGAAAATGATTTTTAAAGGGATTTCCATATCCGACTTTCATTATGCATGGGCTATAATTAATTCTATGATTAATGTTGGTAACTCTGCCAGACCAGGCTGCGATCGAGCTTTGAACCCGGAGGAGCAGGCTGTTACCCTCTACTTCGTGAAAGCCGCTATACCACGATGTCGGTGCCGCAGAGAGGTTCGGGAACCGGGTCAGCTGTGTCGCGGTTAGAACAAACTTGCGAAGGGTGGTGCAGTGCCGCAGTACAATGCTTAAACATCAGATGGTCTAGGCTCCACAGCCTGGGGTAGAGATAACAGTTGTAGTTTAATGTTTTCTATAATAATAGTTTAGGTTAATTTTCGTTAAGTTCAAACTAGTGTATTATATTCAAAAAATTACAGATGAAGATTTATTTAAAAAAAAAATGCAATTTAATCTTTTTTTTAAAACTGTTCTTCTTTTCACCATAGCTTTAAATAAATGTAAAAAAAAGTCTGCCTTGTAGGTTCACTATAGCTTCTTCATCATTTCGATTGGGTATATAATTAAGAATATTTTAAGCTTTTTAATTTTTCATTTAAGAATAATAATTAAATCGTTTAAGAAAATACGAAAATAAAGCCGTTTTTTGAAGTATTGTCTTGTCAAAGAAAAAAACGGACACCTAAGCGAAGTGGATTGAATTTTATAAAATCTATATTGGATCATCTAGGTAACACTCCAACGCAGTCCCTATAAATTTCATGAAATCGCATTAACATCATTAGATGATATGCCAATGGATTCAGCTACTGAAAGATTTACAGTTTAAAATGTATATAATCTCCATTTTCTCATTTTTAACACCAGCTAAGATTTAGCTAAAGTAATTTTAATTGTTGAATTGGATAAAATTAATATCTTAAGGTATACAAATGCATTTGCCCATCCTTAAGCGAATGTATTTTTTGATAAAATTTATATCCACTTGATCATTTTTTCTTTCATTTCGAAACCTTGGTTTGCAGCAGAATTGAGTTAAACGAACATGCAGTTTTTGAAATTTAGGCTTGTCTAAAGAAAAATTTTTTTCAATCCCCTTCACTGCAGACTAATATATCAATTTCTGTTCCTTGCCACTTAATGTGTGTGAAAAATTTTTATTCTTAGGGAAAAACAATTTTTCATCTCTCGTGCGGACACAAAGCTGAGTTACCAGAAAGAAAAAATGTCTTAAAATATTCTGAAAACCTTTTTTGTCGTATTTATCTCGCTTTCAACGTTATTTAATGTAAAAACTGGAGGTTGCAATCGATATAGTGTCAATTAATTAGTCTTCGCTTTAACGAAGCCTCATCCTGATCAATTAGAATTACTCGTAAAGACGACCTTTGAAGAAGACTCTAGAGGAATAGCGAACCCAGCCAGTTCCAAGAAGCGATGGACTGTTGTCCTATCTAAAAGTGGACCAGGTTCGCTTCTCAAGATAGGTTCCAGATGCCACTCTCTTGTTTACTTTGTCTTCTCCTGAATGCCGACTATATTTATATACACAGCTCTCTCTACCTTGCGTCAACAGTTAGTCTATCAATAATTAAGCTTGGTTATTTTATCATGTTTCTTTAAAAAAAAAATAACAACAATAATAAACTTTATTTGATGATTGTTTTTTTAAACTCCGTTTCTTTAACCACACCTGTCACAAGTTCTGAAACTCAGCGAATCTGTTCTCGGGAATAATGCTGGTGATGGCTTAATCGGTGTGAGGGAGAGGAGTACCCAGTCCCCTCGTGCCTTGATTTTAAGCTATTTCTAAGAGAGTAAATCCTTCATCCAGATCCTTTTGAGTCTCCTAAGTGTGTTTTCGGGCACGTTAAATGTATCTATAATTGTATAAGTGTGTTAGTATGTCCATGTAAGTTGTCGTTAAATCTTTTGTGGTATATTCCGTATGTAGTCGTTAACTGTTGGCATTCGAAGGTCTTTATGTAAAGTAATTTTTGTGACGGAGCTTTAGTTATAGTTCTGAAGGTTTTAGACTAAAGTTTGTAGTTTCCGAATTTGTAGGTTGTTTTGGCTGTCCCATAAATTAGCGCACCGTAGGTTCATATGGGCTTAAGTAGGTAAATGTAAGTGTTCAGATATTGTTTTAGCCAAAATGTCACCAATTTCAACAATAACTTTTTTTCGCTGATGTCGCTGATCCAAAAATCTTATACGAATGTCCTGACATTCTTTCCAATGGGCCCAAGGAACCGATAAAGTAATATTTCATATAATTTCAAAAAATATTTATGTCATTTATTTTTCCTATGCTTGACCAGGATTTTCATTATTATGTACCGAGCTATTTATTTTTTTGTGAAAATTAAGAAAAATATATTGAGTATAATGCTAAATTAATTATAATATATCATAGATTACAAAAATCAGAAAGCACTTGCAGTAAAGTTGACGAAGTAAATTTTTGTTTTGAGAAAAAACAAGTTAGCTTCGTTTTTAGTTTCCTTTGAAACTGTTAAACATGTTTTGTTTTTTTGTAGAAATCGCAAATTTCAATTTTTATTACTTAATTTTCTTGGAGGATTTTTAACTAAGGCATTCATAACCTCAAGATTTTCTCTTAACTCAATGTTAGTAAAACCATTAGATAGTTGAATTAATGATCTTTCAACATCCTTTTTCAACTAGAAATTAAGGAAATCTTCTCAAAGTTTTTATTTTATATCTCGTTCTAATTTGCTTATGAAAGTAGGGTTTGTGTTATTTCATATAGCATATAGAGACCTAAAATCCCCATTATGATTCGTGTAAATCTGTGCAAAATTTTTAAGCAACAATATGCTGTAAATTTTAAATTTTAATTTTTAATCGATAGCTTCAAAAATTCGTATTAATAATAAGAATATCGCTTATTCCACAAAATGTTTTCTTCCTCTGTTAAATTTATTTATTTATTCTTTCATATGCTATGGTGATTGTATTATTACTTTTAAAAACCCTAATGTTCGAATATGCCGTGGTCTAAAAATCTCGATATTAAAATATTTGTCATATTTACAGTAACTAAAAACGAATTCTTAAATAAAAAATAAAAAATAAACTTCTAAAAGTTGTTTTTCAGTTATTTTAAAATTAATAATTAAAATTAAAAGGCGCTGAATGAGAGACCTTCTTTAACAAACCATGGTAACTGATACAAGCCAGGGAAGAGGTATTGCTGGGTGCTATCCTTCTACCTGACATGTCAGTTTTATTAATTTCATCACAGACAGGCTCCGATAAATATTTGAAGAAAAAATTATCTAATATGTGTTTGACTTATTTTGTTTATCTTATCGTTATTAAGGTTCGAAAAACGAACATCAACTTCATATCTGCTATAATAAATGTTTACCCCCACCTTGCTACCTCGGTTGGTCCACTTTGTCCCCATACTCTACTTGTCTACCAAGTATAATATTTTCCTGGTATATAGAGTTAAGGTGTTTAAGAGAAAAAATTATTTACCGTATAATATAGGTGCAAGTATCGATCAATAGTGCATCTGCAAAATAAATTCGTGAACCTAATAAGACAATGTATCGGAGGAAGAGTAATAAAATATTAGCTACCATGCAATTGTCTCCTCTTCGATGGGAATGAATCCTGGTCAGCCCAGCCGGAGGTGAAGGATATGCAAGGATACACCGATATTGATTGACTGCTCCCGAACGACATAAATATCTAGCTCGACTGTTTCAGGACATCTTTCCTCCTTATCTATTTATCCTGAGTCCTGGGGGAAATCCCGGAGCCTGAAACATTTATCGAGTACCTGCTCATGTTGTGGAACCGCCGTCCGTCACTGCTGTCAGGCGGCCATGAGCTACCTCCGTCATAGGCCGAACGCTGGGCAGGGTATAAAGGTTTTATTATGTGTTTAAGGTTTTTTTATTTTATGTATTTATTTAATGGAAAATTGAAAAAAAATATAGATAAAGAGAGAGAAGTGAGAGAAAGGGAAAATAAATGTTAAAAAAAAAGAAGAAAAAAAGATAAACAAAAAAAAATTATAATAATACATATATATACATTTATATAAAAATATTGTATACTATGCTCATACATATTGTTAATCCTATATAATTATATATTATTTTAAAAATTGTATGTAGTGATTAATAAGTATGCTGTGTTTTAGCAACCCAATGTAATTGGGCAGCACCATTTTATGATAATAAAGTGATTCTCTCTCTCTTCTGGAGGAGTATAGAGTATTGGATGCCATCGTAATAATTAATAAAGCAGGACTTACTTAGAAAATATATGAAAAACATTTAACGATTTATAGAGTATTGGATTTTCTAGTTTCCAGTTTTGACCTTTTTAACCAGGGTATAGGAAATATTTAAGCCGACCACCATAGATGGTATGAGACAATTGTATTTATTTGTATCTAATATATCTAATTACAGAGATTTTGTAGGATAATCTCAAATATGGTTCTTTGAATATTTTAGCGAATATGTGGATTGGATTTCGGCATGTGATCTGTTCCGGCCTTGTTTCCTTTGTATATGTAAATAAATTGTTTATTATTTTTTTTTGTGCTCTATTGATGTTGGTAATTATTTTATCTGCATTTTATATATATATATATATATATATATATATGTGTTGATAATTATTATGTATTATTTTAACTGTTTGATTTTTTACGAAATATGATTTGTAAGTTCTACTTAACTCTTTTATAATATCTATAATGTAGCATTTCAAAGAACAAATGTTATATTACTATAAGAATATGAATGTTTTTAACACAAATATAGACTCTATTTGTGTGGGGTTCTTCCCTCAAAACAAATAAAGATTAAATAAATAAAATTAAATTAAAATAAAAAAATATAAATTGTTGCCTATAATCAACTAGCTGGGAGCGATTATTTTATTGAATTCGATCTATAGGCAAGAAATAATAAGAACATTTGTTAATTTATAATGACCGTTATATGTATATATATATATATATATTTGTAGTTTCAACTTTTAATATTAGGTGAAATAAACATATATTTTTTTTGTCATTCTTACTATCGGTGTATAGATTAAATTTTTTTTTTTAAAGACGTTTTATGGTTTCATAATTTTTATTATTTTATCTTTTGATTTTAACCGCTTGACGTTTTCAGTCCCCATGCTATTTATAACGTTGAGATAGAATAGAAATTGCGATTTGCAGCTCGATGGAATCCGCCTGTTGCTATCTGGAAGAACAGTCTATGTCAAGTCAAAAATAGTCCATTCAATCTTATCGAATCACAGTCGACTTCACCAACTTCAAGTCTATCGCTAGCCAGCTGTCTAGTCTGTACATCTGCCTGTCAGTCAGCGTTGAAGGATTCTATCCATCTCACATGGACAACAGTATATTCCATAAAATCATTTAATCACGAGACGGCAATAATAAATAAAGAATTAAAATTTAAAATAAAATGTAATAGTATATAACTTTTAAGGGGACTCGAAAGCTAAATTACTTCACAGAATTTACAGATAATCCATATTGCTTTTTTCTGAATAACGCATTTTATAGTGTTTATTTATATGACAAAGGCTGACAACTATTTAACATTTTTCTATATTGAAATTGTGTTTGCAAATAACATATATAATATAGTTAACCAGGATAAAAACAATAAAAATCCTTCTAAACTGTATGTAAAGGAACTGAATAGGATGATGAGGTGGACAATATAAGTTGGCAGCCTTGTTAATTGAGAGGTGTTCTTAATTAGGAAGTGTTTATTGACGACCTCCAGCGCTTGTAGTTGATACTATACACATTTTTTTTTAATGTTATGACCATCCATAAAAAATAACTTGCGTTAAAGTTTCATTTCAATAAAAATGTAATTATATAATCAAGAAACACAGCCTAACATGGAAAAACGACTGTATTTTTCTATGTATCAAGATTGAAACAGATTACAAAAGTTAAGGAAAATTAATCGATTCAAATATAATTTCTATTATGTGATAATTTAAAATATTATGGCTCTTTCAATAGCAATATAAAGTATTTCATAGGAAATAAATAAGTGAAAAGCGAAATATTTAATTATAATAATTCTTTGAAGTGTCTTAAGTTTAAAAAAATCAGGCGACATTTTGAGTAGAAGCCTGCTAAATTGATTAGTTTGCTCACGGTTCAGAGAACGAAAGTGCTCGACTAGAACTGAGCAAATAGCTCGTTAGTACCTCAGCGGCTGAGTGAGGGAAGCTCCATTCGGAATCAGAGATCTGCTTAGTCCACAAAATATTTTCCGCCTCCGTTAAATTTATTTATTTATTCTCTTCATTTTTCAGATAATTGTATTATTACTTTTCAAAACCGTTGGAATATGTCGTGATGTAATTTAATTTTATTATAAAAATAAATCTCGATATTAAAATATTATTCGCGTTTAGAGTTTTTAAGTTATTTTAAAATTAACAATTAAATTAACAATTAACAGATCTCCTACCTTAATAAACCATGGTGTTTGATGCTGGGTGCTATCCTTTTATTTTAGTTTTATTATTTTCATCAAACCATCTGGGGATGGTTCGTCGATAAGCTCAGATAAATATTTGAAAATAAAAAAAAATACTTATACACGCGAGTTTTATACGCGCATTAACAATATACTATTAAACATACCTCGTAAAGTGGTTTCATGGAATCAGAGTGTTATAAAACATAATGCACTATAAAAAATATGAGGTTACTATACTTATTGTGTAACGTTTTATAAATAGGTATAGGTTTATGGACTTCATCATCATAAAGTAAATACCCTATGATATTCTCCATGTATTGATCCTATATATAATATATCCTAGTAACGAAAATTACCAAAGTTCCGTTTTCCACAAATAATCACGGAAAATAAAAGGGTATTTGTAACTACCATAATTTTTACCCATTGAAGAAAAATAAGCAAAAATTTATAAATTTAAAAAAATTCTAAAGCTTTCATTCAGTCGTTTTTACTGTAAATGAAAGACTGAGAAGTTAAAAAGACAAAAAACTAGTGTCTAAAATACATTTTCTGGGAAATGTCGGTTTATGACAGAAGATATCTCGAGAACTATAATAAATACGAAAACATAAATCGAAATATTCCAAAAGGATATTTTATTGGCTTTAATTTTTGATAAAATAAATTTTTCTTTACGACGCACAGTTTTCGAGATATAAGTGAAAAACCGAAAAAATGGGCCTTTCCAGTGCCCACTAACATGAAGCCGCATAAGTATGAGTAGGGACTTTTAAGTCTATTAAGCTCCTAAGTATCCCGAAAAATCCCCAAAGTCAAATGCTTTCCCTATCTCCGTGTACTCCACTCTTTTGTTGACTGGAATAATTAGTTTATTAATTAATTCATGTAACGTGTTTACATTTCAGTGGTATTAACCATTGTTTATTTTATTCATGAATTCCTGTCATTTCCATTTAAATGGGAAATAGTTCCTTCTTTGTTTTTACCGAATTCGTGAATTTTGTCTGTATATTATACATCTGTAAAATTTAAGCCGACAAATATTTACAATTAACAAATACATTTTGTCATATGTTAAACAGATAATTTTAGATAGGAGGAACAATCAGTAAAATAACTTAATTTAAAGAAACCGATGAAGAAGCTACAAACATTTTAAGGATAAAATGTATCTCTAATGATATTGTATATTTAGTATAGGATTGATTTTTTTTAATTTTTGTTAATTGTATATTGATCAATGTTATGTTTATTGCTTATGGTAACAGTTTCTCTTTCTCTTATATAATATCTGATCAATATCTAATAAGTGGTCTCGTAATGAACGCCTACATTATTTTTTTGTTTGTTTTAATCAAGGCCAGCCAGAGTTGTCTATGGTCAGGTTTCGAACCAGTGTCAAGACGCTTTAAGAGGAACTAGTTTTGCTGAATCAGTCCTTGCCATATTCTGCCAATACTTCCGTTCTCATTTAAATATTTTTACTTAAATCACTAAATGGTGGATCCTCTATCTAAAAATTAAAACAGAGTGCATTTTCTAACCATAGTTTTTTTTTAAGTATGTGTATGATATATGAGCAGTGCCTCAAGAAAAAACAAGGCGTCTGATTTAGGTATAAATAAGACACATAACAACCTACAGAAAAACTACATCTAAAATACATTGTCGACTCCTCACGATTATGTTCTTTGGTTGTTTCAGTTGCTTTAGCAAATTTTTGGCGAGAAAAAATTGCTGTAGTAATTGAGCTTAACTTTAATATTCAACTCTCAATTTATAAATTCCAGCGCGGAACGCTCTGTATTTTATATTCATGCCATTAATTCATTTTTTTTTTTTCACAATTGTCTAAACACTGAAGTTTGTGACTTTTTCTATGAATTAAAAAAAAAAAGGAAATGAAGTAATTTTTTTTAAACATATTTCTGTTAAATAAAAAGTAATGAATTTATTGCAATACGTCCCAGGTTATAGGAGAAAAAAAAACTGAAACTTTATTATAATTTCTTGTTTGTTTTTTTTTTAATACGGGTACTCAGATGTGGAAATATAAAAAATTGCATATATTTTACACAACTAGAGATGGATCTTCACTTATTCTGTATTAAACCTCAAACGAATTAACAGAAAGTTTTTATAAAACTGGGGTGTCTGTAATACAATTGGAGAATGATAAAAAAAAAAAAAAAAAAATCGGGAATAATCTATGATTTTATAGAAAAACAGAACTTATTGTCAGTAGTTAGTTAGTAAATAGGTCAGAATTTCCCTTAATATGACAATTTCACAAAAACAAATTTGAAAATTAACAAATATCAAAAGTGACTTTTCGCAATAAAACCGCGCTTTGTTGTTTTTAATAACTGTTATTTCTGTTAAATTTACTATTATTTCTCAATTGTTAGCCTTGTTATTTCTATAAAAATGACTCGCTTATTTTTTATTTTGTGCATTTCATTTCCTATTGACGCAGCTTATTGGCCACAGAGTGGTGTAGTAAGTCCTTAATTGGCCGTTGGATAATAGCTTACACAACAGGTAAATTGTTCTATTTATACAAAGTGAATAGTACTGCAATAATTGAACTGTCTTCTTGTAATTACTAGCTATTGTGTTTCAGAGTCCTTTTGTCATAGGCATAACTTGCTAATAAAAAGCTGGATTTTCTTATTTATTTTGGAAAAGCTTTGAATTCGAATACAACTAATGCTTCTTTTTATTATCGCTTCGACCTTCAATATTCTATTATTTGGATTATTAATATTATATCGATGCAACTATCGCACAATTTATAGTTAATATAGTTAATGAGTATACAAAAATCAATTTCACAAAGATCTTTTTTTTTTTTTTTTTAATTCAACAGAATCTAAATGTTTTTTATATTAAATTGAATAGGGAAAAGAAATTGTTGACCGGTCGTTCTTGATTTATTTTAAGGTGTAAAAATGTATTATCGTTTTTTAAAATATCCTTGAAACCACTAATATTCAATAGACGAATTTCAACTGTCCTCGAAACTTGGATATTTGCATAAGTAATTGCAACTGAATGGCCCAGGCTGAATCAGATATGGACAAGTGCACTTGATGAGTCTCCGAAAATTCTCTTATGCGCCTTTATGAATGGATTACTTTAGAGACTTGTGTGCCACCGCACGTTATTTGGGCCTTGATTAATATTTATTTATTATTATAACTATGTAATAAATATACAAAAGTCATCAATTTCAACTTCAACATACGTTGTAGACTAGAGGCGTCTCTAGACGCCATTAACGTTGAAGGTTTAACACCATTCTAATTTTATACATACATACCATGCATGTTCTCGTTATCTCATACGTATTTTATTTTACTTTTTTATTTTTAGTTTGAAATCAAGTAATTTAATTAACTTGACATCACATTTAAAGATATAACTAAATATTTATTTTATTGAATATTTAATAGTTGACCGTTGCATTATAAAGGAAGGAGATGGTCCGGAGTTTCACTTAAAATTGAGTGAATCTAGTTCTAAGTGAAACTCATGGCTGAACACACCTCCCTGAAGAAGACCTGCAAAGTCGGGTCAAAACGTTGGCTTTTAATAAAATAGTTTTGCCACTATTTTAGTCTATTTATGACCGCCATCCCGGACCATCTCCTTCCTCTAAATATTTATTCTTTAGTCAAAAAGTGTTAAAACACGTAAGCGATTTTTCCTCTTTGGACTTTCATCCGACCCTGTCATGAAAATGGCAATCAGCATATGTCATGTTTTTGGTAATAATAACATTAAAGACATGAAAAAGATAGTACCTAGCAGTACCTCTTCCTGATCTTAGTTTACTTCCTTAAATCATTAAAGAAGATCTCTCATCCAACTGATTTTCAGTCACCTCATGATGTGCATGACAACAGTGGCGTATATATAAGTCTGTTGCGGTATCTATGTAGTTTAATATAAAATCGAGAGTAAAGCGTGTGTAGGTGTTGGTCGATAGCTGGTTGTCCTAAGTTGTAATGCAAAGTTTTGTTGTTGAAGTACTATGGAGCTGCTGTTAGACTTAAAATTCTGGACTGAAAAGATTGTAGTTTTTGTAAGTGAAGATTTTTTCTAAACTCTAAATGTGTTAGGCGTATGTGTATGCATTTAGTTTTTGTCTGATTATCAATTTCGAAAACATTGATTGAAATAAAAAAGAGAGAGAATAGTATTTTCAGTCATTTTTTATAGTGCTTTCATTTTTATGTGTGGGCCCAGGTCATCATTCTACCGAATATTGTGATATAGTCACCTCATGATGTGCATGACAACAGTGGCGTATATATAAGTCTGTTGCGGTATCTATGTAGTTTAATATAAAATCGGGAGTAAAGCGTGTGTAGGTGTTGGTCGATAGCTGGTTGTCCTAAGTTGTAATGCAAAATTTTGTTGTTTAAGTACTAGAGAGCTGCTGTTAGACTTAAAATTCTGGACTGAAAAGATTGTAGTTTTTGTAAGTGAAGATTTTTCCTAAACTCTAAATGTGTTAGGCGTAGGTGTATGCATTTAGTTTTTGTCTGATTATCAATTTTGAAAACATTGATTGAAACAAAAAAGAGAGAGAATAGTATTTTCAGTGATTTTTTATAGTGCTTTCATTTTTATGTGTGGGCCCAGGTCATCATTCTACCGAATATTAGTCCGAGATAATGTAATATGCCCATCAGAGGAAAATTGAAGTTTATGCTTCGGTTCTTGCCGATATAAACTGACAAGCACATATCTCGTCGAAGTGTAAATGTTATGTGTTGTGATTTGTCATGGTATAATCTTATTTTTCAGAATAAGTACCAATTTGATAAATTTATTACATGATTTTGTGAATTCTATGTGGCTTGTCTTGGGTTATGGTTATGGTGTTTTGATTAATTTACTGTATCATCAACGTTGGTGGAATTTTTAAACACAAGAAATGTATTAAGAAATATATATATAAGAAATACATAAGAAGAGAAAATATATTTGAAAGTCTTCTATTTAAACCGTTGGAACAAATTATTTTAAGAAGCCTCGCTGGGTACATGCAATCAATAACTAGAAGTTCATTTATTTGAAACATTATGTGTAAATTATTTACACATCTAAATGAAATCATCTAATTTGTTTTATATAATAGGATATAAAAAGGAAATTTACATGAGCAAATCTGGATTATTTGAACGGTATACTGAAGGAAATAGCCTTCCATGTTCAGCATAAATCTAGCTGAGATCAGTAAAGCACCACTTTGTAGATTGATGTTTTGTTAGTGAACGACGGAGACTGATTAATTATACAGAAGGCCCTGCTCATTCTGTAGGCTCGGTCACTAACGATACGTCAGCTAACTATTAAACCAGTCTAGTCTAAACAAAACCTCATCTTCAAAGTGCCCTCTCCTGACGTCGGAGGGAGAATTATTTTTGGCAAGAAAAACATTCTCTTACAATTTGTAAGGAACAGCTTCTGTGTCGGATAGGTCTTTCCATATATTTAATTCTGAACGGAAATCCTTATATTCGAGTTTAATTTATCCAACAAAAAGTCACCGATGATTATTAGCTATCTTTTCGTTAGTTAACCTAATTAAAGAAGTAGGTTTAGAAATAAGTTGGGATAAAATAAAATATATATGTTTAATAGGAGAAACAACAATGATTTCATTGATTTAGATATTTTAGAATTTAGGTATTATACTTTTAAATGTAAATAAATTTAAGTATAAATATATTTGTACAATTACAAATACAAGTACAAATACCAAATGGTCTACAATAACAACAATAGCAAAATTCAAGGTGATTAAAATGTATTGCAACTATGAAGTTTCAAAATTGCTTAGTTCGCTGCCTCATGTTTTTGTTTATTTTTTTTTAGAATAAAGTATTGTGTATCATTTTTACTCCAAAGAAGGGCGAGTATACTAGAGAATCAAATTCACCAATAAATATCATGATGGATTAGGCGTGTAAAATATGGATAGCGAAATAATCAGTAAAAGGATAGGATAATGTAAATGACAGAAATAGAGATGTAGGTGTCGATAGAATTCAATGCAGAGAGGTTGTTACAGACACCGAAACTCCGGATTTGTTAAGATATTAATATATTTTAATAAAATTTGCAGCACTTATTTATGATTGTAGTTTTAATTTTGTTATATTAATATTTATTCTAGTTTTTATATTTATATTATGTTATATTATTTATTTACGTTGTTTTTATTATTTTATCCTAAGTCTGCTTTCGAATCGGGCGTTGATTTTTTTTTTTCTGTTTTATCAACCATGGATCGACTCGGAATCGAGAGACCCTCGTGGTCTATAAATCGGATACCCTTATGGGTGAAAAACCTTGCGTTTGAGCGTGATCCCCTCCAAATCCTCTTCTACAGATCATTCATGTCTTGTAAAGATTGTTTAGTTATCAGCTAGCCAAACTTTCTTTTAAAAAAAATTGAATCAGATATTATCCTATTTTTCGAGAAAATTTATCTCATAATGATTTGACTACATTCGTATTGATATTCCAAAGACTTGTAGAAAGACAGACATACAACAATAGCGTTGACCTCGAAGGTAGTTGTGCAAGAAGTCGGTACATACATGGATCCTTTGAGGACCTACGACGGAACACCGAGGAGATTGATGGGCCCTCTTCCTCCCCACAACTTTCCTCAGGCAGTTCCTCTGGCTACATGATGGATTGCTGTTCCAGGTGTATCAGGATTCTAATCGTTCCATTTACCCGTTTGACCTTTCTCCAGTTTTTTTTTTTTTTTTTTTTATGATTATTTATTTAGATCAAAATTGTATTGTGATTATCTATTTCTAAATTTTAATTTAATTTAAATTTTTGTTGCTATTTCAAATTTTTAAAGTATAAATATAAATCCAGATTTTTTTTTTCAATATATATATAATTAAATATAATAATAAATATTGATTAACTTCTACTGAGCAAGATTTAGCATTTATGTTGTAATAATTAATACATTTAGTTTTGATTATTATTTATTATTGAACGATTCGGATAATATCCGTCACCCTTTTCAACATCTAAAATAATATATCATAGGTTCTATCATAAACCAGTCATATTCAACATTAAAACATATACAATTTTTAATAATATATATAAAAGTAATAGTGGATTAACGGTTGACTGATGCGAATAATTGATGAGAAGTTGGTTGAGGTATTAATATTTAAATCAAATAAGTCAAATTTAATATCTTAATTTTTATTTCTTTTATACAGTTGTAAATATCATCTATATGAATAAAATAAAGATTTTGTCTGTAAATTGAATAGAATCAACCCGTTTTATGACATCTTTCCGTTTCATACATTGCAGACAACAAATCCACTTTTAAAATTTTTTTGTCTGTCTGTATATCCGCATTGCAACAAAATTTTGTCAGGGGTAAGCTCCGCAATGGCGTATTGTGAACTTTTGATATTTTGACATCATATTAAGGTTTACTTGACTTAAAACATAGGCTTTAAATGAAAACAAAAATTGAATAGAACCAGAGTTATGAATTCTTGGGTAAATTGTCTAGAGATCCAGGTTAGGCAGTTACTTCGATTCTCATCCCAGCCTACTCTACCGCGAGCCATATTTAACAGTTGCACTATTCAACTGATGGAAAAATATTATCACAGCTCAACGGGGAAATTCCGAAATACCAAACATCTGTAACGTGTTGTCGCTTAAAACACACTCATTTTTCAACTTTTTCCAATCTTCCCGTTTAAAGTGTCATTCTATTCAACTTCCCGAGCCTAACAAATGATGTCGTATACACTTTTAGGATTAACCAAACGGATTAGCCGGAAACCGGAAAAAAAACTTCTACCAATTAAAATTACCTCTCCCTCCTCACCCAATGTTTTAAAATTAACTGTCCCCTCCCCATAATACAATATCCATATCAAAAAAAGATTCTCAAATTTTAACTATACACCCGTCAACGATGGGCACATTAGGTAGTTAAGAAATAAAAAAAAATAAAAAATATGATGGAGTCTATATTGTATTATTTTAGATGACAAAGAGAGGAATGGAGACTCCCCAAAACATTCACTAATAAGTAATAATCAGAACTAAATGTTAATACATTTATATTAATTGTATATATTAATATTATATTAATTTATATTATATATTTGTCAATAGGTCAGTATAATTACTGACCTATTGACAAAAAAAATTAAAGAACAAATTATTGAAGAGAATATTGGTTGGGATGTGCAGTAAAAAACGAAGATTAAATTTTTATTTTTGCTGACGTTTCGGCCCAAAGTTCAGGCCTTTATCAGCGCTGGTCTTACGAATGGTTCCCATTAGACTATTAGAACGCCCCAACAAATCTTCCCTTCAATTATTCACTGTAGTCGACCATCAATCCACAATAATAAGTTTGTAAAACAAGTTCAAAACCTGAAAATGGAAAATAAAATATTATGTTTGTTTCATTAATTTATCTGTATTTCATCCGTAATCGCGTCTTAAATTAGTGTATATTTACTATGTATATTATGAATTATGTGCTAATAGTTAAATGATACTGCTAGAGACTTACCTTTGGTTAGAGCGTGTAGCAGCCTGTCCTTGTGGGCGGAGGAGTGGAGCTGGGGCAGGAGGACCAGGAGGTAGCCCCCGGTCAGCGGGGAGGGCGGCGGTGGGCCCTCCGCCTCCCCGTCCCCTCGCCGTTCGTCGGACATACACTCAGATCTGACAACACAACAATAATATATTATAATTAGTTCATTATATATATATATATATATATATATATATATATATATATATATATATATATATATCCAAGTACAGTCGGACATACACTCAGATCTGACAAAACAATAATAGAGTATTATATAATTAGTTCATTCATCCAAGTACAGTCATTCATATGTTCAGAATAGAGTAATGAACAACTTTATTTTTCAATCTGACTGAAATTCAATTGTATCAGATTTCGCTTGATAGAATAACAATTTAAGGCATGAGATAAAACTAACCCGTATAGTAAATAATCAAAGACTTTGAAAACACACGGAATCGTAAAACAAATTAAAACACACAAATAAATATTATTCACAACATGTTTCTATCCCTAGCCACAAGCCACTAGTTATCGCCTACATACTGTGTCATTTAGTCCCTCCAGTTCGGAAGCGGCCTGCATCTTTTCCTTTTTTTCTCTCTTTGAATCCACTCAGTTCATGCCTTAGACCATGGCGCACGAGGACCTATATTTCTTTCCCCGAAACAGACCGCCAATGGACCAAACCTGAGGGGGGCTATTAACATCCTGGTAAACCACATCCCGATTAAGTACACGGGGTAGGGCCATCAGTCCTACGACCGGTCGGTGTGAGTTGCATCCAGTAGCCTGACGGGCCTCACAGACCGGAGGGGGACTCGGACAGCATGGCTTTCTCTGGTACATGGTCACCTAAATCGGGCGGTCACCCATCCCAGTACTAACCACGCTCGACGTTGCTTAACTTTGATTACCTATTGCAAGCGTCTTAGCCCGTACGGCTACCCTAGCTCCCTGTAGTTTAAGTAGATATATCATTCATTAATTTAACTTTTCTTTCATTTATGTGCAGTTATCTCTTTTACTGTACTGTTATATTTTTAATTATTCTGTTATAGTATTATAGATAAATATTTCGACTTGAAAATGGGCAAAATTGCCTGGAACGTTATCGAGAAAATTAAAATTAATTAAAGCACGGAGTGAAGGTGTAAGGATGAAATAAAGCGATTTTACTCGAAGTTATAAATTTTATTAATTATAAATGCCCTTGAAAATCTAGAAGATTTAATAAAAAAAGCTATTATTTTTAGCATTTTTTTAAAAATAAAATAAGTGTTTATGCATTAATATTTATTATTATACATCCTAAATCATAAAAACACTTTTTTTTCTGTTGGTATTACAGACCATGTAGATTTTTTGCCGCCTTTACAAGCCTTCTTCATCTCTGCCTGTCTTTGGCCATATCTTGCCTGTTATCTGCAAATTTGTTGACTTTATCTATCCATCTGCTTTTTGGCCTTCCACTTGGTCTTTTGTCTTTATTGAAGCATTCATTGTTACATAGAGGCTTCCAGCTGGTTTGTTACGAGCTGCATGCCCTCCCTATCATAACCCCCGTGCCTTCATATCATGGGATATTGATTGACCAGTTTCTGTAAGCTGTTCTTTATTGGTCTTTTTTCTCTACGTGTTAGTACTCGCTCTGGTTATCGTGCGGAGGCTTTTTCTCTCAAATCTTTCAATATTTTTTTCTAAGGTGTTGGTTAGTGTTTAGGTCTCACAATTATTTATCAATATACACTTTAAACAATAACCGTAACATATGTACTAATATATATTTATGTTCTACATGGTAAAAATACGACGGATTCCTGATTTTTATTCCGAATTAAATAGAAGCTAGAGTTTCTCTAATTTTTTTTTTTTTTTTGATCTTGAAATGTCATGGTAGTGACAATTAGCAGATTTGATAGGTAAACAAAATGGCATGATAGGCATTATGATGAATAGTACCCAGCAGCACCTCTTCTCTGGTTTGTTTACATTCTTGAATCAGGAAAGAAGATCTCTCAACCAGCTCCTTTTTAGTTGTCTCCAGATGATCATGTCAGTCATGGCCATGTCGTTAATAAGACCGCTGTGATGTGCTAGTAATTTAAGATGAAATCGGGAGTAGAGAAAATGGCTCCTAAAGACCATTGGTATAAAGACTGGGAAGTGTGTCTGAAAATTTTCTGCCATCTCATTCTTAAGTTATAATTGAAAAAATAGTAACAGTTCATAAAAAATGAATAATTTTTGACCACCTTAAATATTACTTAATATACTCATTATATTTCTCTAACAATATATATTCTTAGCATCGAAAATTATATCAGGGAAGAAAGTTATTTTGATCAAGCTGCCGGCTAAATTCGAATGGTTCTCACGGCATTTGATCTATCGTTGCACAACGGAAACCTTCGGGTTCTGAGATGAGCAAAGTGCATTTTTAAGGTCACCTTAGCTACTGAAGATAATTGTCTATGTTGTGAAGACAGGCACTATTCAGAAGCGTCATTAGTTTAATGTTTAACTTATATTTGTTTAATTAACTTGTATTGTTTATATTATTATCCTCCAAAGTACCAGAAACAGATACAGCCCATCACGACGATTAAGTAGTTAGTTGAATAATGGTTGCAATAAGTCATATTGTTTTTATAATATGATTAAGAATAATAATAAAGGATAATTATAGTTATTATCATTATCATATAATTATATTATCATAGCTAATAATTCACAAATATTTTAATAATTACTAGAAAAAATATATGAAATTGAACATTACAGTATGGAAACATTGAGCAATTAATTTTAAAAAAGTACTTAATTTTTGTATATAATATTATCTAAAAAGTATTATAATTACTTTGCTACACCCTTAGTAAAAAAATAAATTTGAATTGTTATCAACTTTCTGTTCAAAGAAAATTCTAATTAATCCTCAATAATTGTCTCATTTCTACTCTCTACTTATCAATATCATTTGATTCTTTCTATTTCGTTATATATAAATATATATATATATATATATATAGATAGATAGATATATAGATAGATAGATAGATAGATAGATAGATATCCTTATTTTGTCTATTACTACTTATATTTTTCAAATACCGTTTTATCTGTTGCTCACTTTTATAACTTAATTCTTTTCATCTTTTTTTTATGAGCTCATAGTCTCATATTAATAACTTTTAGAAATATTGTAACTATTTTTTTTTTTATATAGTCCATAAAACTAAATCTATTTTGAAACTTTTAAGTGCTGAAAGCTTTTAAGAATAAAATAGCTAATCAATGACAGTTTGAAAAATACCCCTTTACATTTTCTTAAAATTTGCCATTTAGCCTTTATAGTGAAAGCATTTTTATTAGGAATACGTTTTTGTTAGTCAGGTGTTTAACTGTGGAGTCAATAATATATTATAAATAACTTGTCGTAGATAGGCGAGTAATTGAAAAAGGAGTGATATTCTACAAAAAATTGAGTTATTTGCCGGCAATAAAAAACATTTTTTCCTATATCAAATCTTTGGCGAGACTAGATATTTTAAAGGATTTTGCAGCAATAAGGCAGTTTTCTCTATCAAATTTAAATCTCTCTGATGCAACTATATATTTTTCAATCTTTGTCTGCATTTCTGGAATCTGCGATGAATTTTCTACATTGCTTCAACAGGCGATAACAGCAGGCACAGTTAAGTTAACAAGTAAAATGAATACTTTTCAAAAATACTAGGTGAAACCTATGACTTTGCGTATTTAAAAAAAAAATCTTATCAGCTATCCGATAAATTGAGAATGGAGATTCAAATTATATTAGATACCTGATAAAATAACAGTACCTAACTAATATTTATATCTTTGTCGTAGTTTTCCTATCTTGCTCGTTAGGGTTTGGGATGGATAACTACAGTATAGAAATAGAAATAGAAATAGAAAAATAACTTTATTCTGGGACACAGTCCCTTGAGAATAACAAATTAGAACAAAATTAAAATATTACATCTGGCCAAAACAAAATAAATCGAAAAAAAGAAATAATGTAAAAAAAATATAAGGTAAAAACTCTATATACAAAACAAACTAAACTATATACAAAACCATTAATACTATTACAAGAAACTTAAAGCTATTTAGACCAGTATACACTTTTCCGAAAAAAATAAAGAATTAAAAAATAAAAATATATCAAATTCTCTATTAAAATCTGCTCGAATGGTTAGCAAGTATCTGACTGTTTTTGTGATAGGAATTGGAATAGGAGGGATTTGAATGTGGATATGGAGGGGGAATGTCGAATTTTGATAGGGAGGGAATTCCAGAAATTAACAGAGCGAACAATAAAGGAATTTTGGAATGAGGCAGATCTGTGAGAAGGCATGTAAAGGTCAGAAGGTCGAGATCTTGTGGACAGGGAATGGACTGAGGTTTTGAACTGGAGAAGGTGGTAGGCGTAAGAAGGACGATGGTTGTTGATGATTTGGTAGAGGAACGTACCTAGAAAGTATTGTCTTCGGAAGGAGGGGTAGAGCCACCTTAACTCAGTGTAGTGGTGAGAGACATGGGAGTACCTCGGGGCACCAATAACAAATCTTACGCAGCTATTCATTAATCTTTTCAGTCTATCACGGAGCTCCACCGAGAGGCCATCATACACCACACAGCTGTAGTCAAAGTGGGGGAAGATGAGAGAGGAAATTAGGAGTCTACGGATATGTTGAGGTAGGAGATGGCGGAAGCGATGAAATAGTTTAAGGGTAGAGATTGTCCGACGGGAAATGTGAGAAATATGGTTGGTCCAGGAGAGGGTTTGATCTATGAAAAATCCTAAATTTTTAACAGAGGAGTAGAAGGAAATTGGCTGGTCATTAAGGTGTAATATGGGAAAGTCATTATGGGATCTAATGAGGGGCTTGGAACCAATGACGATGGCCTGAGTTTTGGCAGCATTTAACTTTAATCCATTTACATTTGCCCAGGCATTGATTCGATCAAGATCTTCTTGAATCTTGGCAAATGCCCCCAGTAACTCAGAGGGAGAAAAGGATAGGTAGATCTGGGAATCATCTGCATAAAGGTGATGGGATCAATGAAAAATTGATTTAGGTAGGTCGTTAATGTAGGAGCTG